ATAGTCACCCTGACCATGCAGTAAATCAAGTCTAAGATGGTATTTTGATGAAGCCACTCTGGAGGGTGTGTACAGAGTGGTACAAACAAAATTTGAAGTTAAGATGGTAGTTTGGGAATGTGATTTAAGGTCTTCACTAACTGGTTCCTATAGGAATCAAAGAAAGCTTGAGACTGCAGAAATTGATAGAGCTGGGGAATAACTAACTGGATGTGTGATGTGAGGGAGAAGGAGGAATTACGTGTCCAGAGTCATAAGCTGGAGTGATTAAAAAAATGGTACGTAACCATTTAAACAAATATAGCCTTTGTTGTAAAGCCACTGCAGTGTAAGAGAAAGGGAACGGACTTGGAAGTCAGAAAGACCTGTGTTTAGAACTTGGATGTGCCAATCCCTAATACTTGAGTTTTAGCTATTGTAACTTCAGTTTCTTCTTCTGTAAAATGGGAACAGTAATGTATTTACTTGGGGGCCCAGTCGGTAGAGCATGCACGACTCTTGATCTTGGGGTCCTCAGTTCAAGCCCCACATTGGGCATGGAGCCTACTAAAAAAAAAATAATAATAATATATTTACTTTGAAATGTTGTTGGGGTGTTTGGTGGTGACATTCACAAAGTTCCTAGTCCTGTGGGCCACATGGTAGAAGAAATAAGAGCAGCTAATGCTGAATGCTTCCTCCATGCCAGATGCTAAGTGCTTTGTGTATAGTAATGGATTTAATCTTCACAACCATCTCAGGTAGCTACTGTTATTCCCAGTTTACAGGTAAGGAAATTGAAGTAACTTGCCTAAGGTCGGTGGTAAAATCCTGGCTCCGTAGTTCTTGTTCTTTTTTTTTTAAAGTATTTATTTTTTGACAGAAAGAGAGAGAGCAAGAGAGGGAGCACAAGCAGGGGGAGTGGGAGAGGGAGAAGCAGGCTTCCCACTGAGCAGGGAGCCAGACGTGGGGCTTGATCCCAGCACCCTGGGATCATGACCTGAGCCGAAGACAGACGCTTAATGACTGAGCCACCCAGGCGCCCGCGTAGTTCTTGTTCTTAACCTTTCAACAAATCATAATGCTCATGGGGGTAGCTGCTATTTCTTGTTAGCTTTGCTTTATTAAATTGAAAGACTGATTCAATATTGTTTCTTATGTCAATATGTTATGGGTAGCAAGCATGAAGACCAAATGCCTAAATTTAGTCTCAGATTTGTTTCTCATTCTGACTTACGCCTCACTTGTGAGCACCTATTGACTGATGCTAAGTTTGCAGCCCCCTAACCTGTCCCATCATTTCACAGTACCTGACTTTTTGCTGTCCCCACTTAGTTTCACACCTCTGCACATAGTATAACAACCACTTAGCAAACTCTTATTTAATCTTCAAGATTCAGGCTGAACATCATCCAAGAAACCTTTCCTTAGGGACACCTGAATGGCTTAGTCGTTAAGGGTCAGCCTTCGGCTCAGGTCATGATTTAAGCCCCGCATCGCATCAGGCTCCCTGCTCAGCCGGAAGCCTGCTTCTCCCTCTCATACTCCCCCGTTTGTGTTCCCTCTCTTGCTGTCTCTCTCTCTCTCTGTCAAATAAATAAATCTTAAAAAAACAAACAAAACAAACCTTTCCTTAGCTACAACTTGTTGTCTCTGTAGAACTGTGGAAATAGGACTCTGGATGTAGAGACAAGGAGGACTGGTTTTCTCTTTTTCTGTACAGAGCATAAAGTACATTTGTGAGCATACCATACCCCTTCCTACTGCATTACTTCTTTTTATTCTGATTTTACACTGTTATGATCATTCATCCCCTAATAGCTTATGATTTACAATATGGGCAGTCTTTTTCTTTGTGTTTGTATAAGTTTTGAAATTCTATAGGGTAAGTTGTTACCATCCTAGATAATATCCTATTCAGTTTTAACATTTTTCAGTTGAATTACATTTGTGTAGCTAACTTACCTCTCTAGACTTTAATCTTTTCAAGAGAAAGAGCCATGTTTATCATCAGTATTTGTATCCCCCATGGTGTCTAGCTTAGGACCTTGGACATGATATGAACTTGGTAATCACTATTGAATTAAATAAAATGTTTCAATACACCACTGCTTTGATTCCCTAGAGTAAAAATTATGATTCTATTTGAAAAACATACATCTTACCTAAAAATCTTCAGAAAAGATAAGCCACTTGTATATATTTTCTGTGACTACAAGTTTCAATTTCTACATCACCTAGAATAATAATAGAATGAGATATAATTTTCAACTTGAGTAAAATAATAACTTCTAAGGTACTGGATTTTTTTCTTTTTTAAGATTTTATTAATTTATTTGAGAGAGAGAGAATGAGAGAGAGAGAAAGCACATGGGGGGGGGAGGGTCAGAGGGAGAAGCAGACTCCCTGCCGAGCAGGGAGCCCGATGCGGGACTCGATCCAAGGACTCCTGGATCATGACCTGAGCCGAAAGCAGTCGCTTAACCCACTGAGCCACCCAGGCGCCCTGGATTTTTTTTTTTAAGATTTATTTTAGAGAGAGAGAGTGAGCAGTGGTGAGGGGCAGAGGGGAGAGTCTTTTTTAAAGATTTTATTTATTTGTTATGTCAGAGAGAGAGAGCACGCGCACAAGCAGGGGGAGGGGCAGAGGGAGAGGGAGAAGCAGACTCCCTACTGAGCAAGGAGCCTGATGTGGGACTTGATCCCAGGACTCTGGGATCATGACCTGAGCTGAAGGCAGACGCTTAACCAACTGAACCACCCAGGCATCCCTGGATTTCTCTCTCTCTCTCTCTCTCTATGTGGCTCTTCTAGTTCTCATTCTTGTGCTACTGACATACGAAACTTTATAATTTGTGAGTCATTCTCAGTCAGGAATGGACTGGTTGCAAGAGCAAAATTCTGCTCTGGCGAGTTCAAGTAAGGGGATGGAAGAGGGGAGAGGCTATTGCCTGGATCCAGGGAATCTCCTAGTAAATACTGCTAGGCCTTCTAAACTGGAGGTAGGTGTCTCTTTTGTCTCTCATTTTCAGGGCAATGTAATCTCTTAACACCTTATCCTCTAGCAATTCTGAGTTTGGTGGGCCTGTCTGGATCAGGTTGGCAGCCCACTGACTGAGAGGTGGTTAAAGAAAGCAGTGTTGTGTGTCACACTTTGTCTAAAGAATGTCAAAGATAGCAGAACCTTTCAAATTGTTTGGACTTGGCCCAAGTTTTGGGCCTGGGTTTTGTTTAGCTCTAGAAAATGAACTTTGTTGATCTGAAAGTGTATTTTTGTATATGTGATCTTTCATTTCTCCAGGATTTTTTTCCTGTTTTCCATATTAGTTTTATTAGTTATCAAGCCCCTGTCAAGTAAATGCTAAACGGAACTATACTCTGCATTTTCTACTGTGATTTAAGAAAATGTTTTTTACAAACTGAGGGTTCTAGAGGGGAGGGCCTGGGGGGATGGGTTAGCCTGGTAATGGGTATTAAAGAGGGCACGTTCTGTGTGGAGCACTGGGTGTTATGCACAAACAATGAATCATGGAACACTACATCCAAAACTAATGATGTCATGTATGGTGATTAACATAACAATAAAAAATTTAAAGAAATAAAAAAATGTTTTTTAACATTCAGTAATATGATTAAAATTTGAAAAATGCAGAAAGATGACAGACGCAGAAATTTACCACCTGTTACCATTTACTACAAAAGACCAAAAGTAAGGGTTTTTACTTCACATAGGTATAATCAGACTTGGAAACTTACTATCATAAATTTCCTTTTTTCATCTCTTTCTCCTTGTTCTTCCTTCCCCTACTCTAAGGTTTTGGTACCTATTTCATAGACCATATATACTTCATTTAACTTACTGTTGAATATAGATTATTTCCGAAATTTTTCTTAAATAATGCTTTGATGCACATCTGAATATATGATGGTCCGTATTTAGGACAATTTCTAAAAGTAGAATTCTTGGGGGGCACTTGGGTGGTCACTTGGTTAAGCATCTGACTCTTCATCTCAGCTCAGGTCTTGATCTCAGGGTTGTGAGTTAAAGCATACCTTAAATAAGTAAGTAGAATTCTTGGGTCAAACAGTATAACATATATTACTGGCGAATTAGTTATTAAAAAGATTTACATCAATTTATATTGCTATTAACTGCCTCTCTTATGACATCTTTTCCAGTTCTGGCTGTTACAGTTCATTTTCATGTTTGCCACTGTGATTGGCAAATAATGGTCTCTAGTTTGTTTTTTAATTAAAAAAATTTTTTTGGTTTTTTAAAAATAGAGGACTTTTACTTTTATCTTTCCTTTTTTTTTTTTTAAGATTTTATTTATTTATTTTACAGAGAGAGAGTTAGAGAGAACAGAAGCACAAGCAGGGAGAGTGGGAGAGGGAGAAGCAGACTGCCCGCTGAGCAGGGGGCCCAATGTGGGGCTCGATCCCAGGACCCTGGGACCATGACCTGAGCCGAAGGCAGACGCTTAACCGACTGAGCCACCCAGGCGTTCCCCCCCACCTTTTTAAAATTTTTTTTTTAAGATTTTATTTATTTGAGAGAGAGAATGAGAGATAGAGAGAGAGCATGAGAGGGGGGAGGGTCAGAGGGAGAAGCAGACTCCCTGCTGAGCAGGGAGCCCGATGCGGGACTCGATCCCGGGACTCCAGGATCATGACCTGAGCCGAAGGCAGTCGCTTAACCAACTGAGCCACCCAGGCGCCCCCCCCCCCCCGCCCCCGCCACCTTTTTTTAAAGTAAGCTGTACACCCAGCATGGGGCTTGAATTCCCTACCCTGAGATCAAGAGTTGAATGTTCTACCAGTTAAGCCAGCCAGGCACCCCACTAGTTTGTATTTTAATGGCATTTTGGTTTCTATGCATCAGTATAGATCAGATTAGATCACCCTGGGTAAGAATGGCTAACTCCTTATAGTAAGGTTGTTGTAGGATTATTTACTCAGAGTTCCTCTTTAATGTTGTTGTTAAATGTTGACTACTGAATTCAAAACACTTTCTTTTTCAGACTCTATAAGATTTGGATATGTCCTTCATATTTGACTGGATTTACAGTGGTTTCAGCAGTGTGCTACAGTTTTTAGGTATGTTGGCTCTTTGTTCTCTGTGGTTATCCCATTTAATCCTACTTAAATAAAAGTGCTTATTTGTCTAGAGCCTCTTTATATATAACCCAGTAGTTGCGAATGTGGGCTTTGAAATCATACAAACGTTCAGTTACTCATTGTATCTCTTATAAATTATGTAGTCTTGGGCAAATTACTTTCTCCACCTTAACCTTAGTTTCCTTATCTGTAAATTAAAAATAACTCCTACCCCTTAAGATTGTTGATAGGAATATTATTTACAGGAATAGCTACCTTTGATTAGCCAGTTTACCTAAGTGCTTTAGATACTTTATCTCATTTAATCCTCACAGGAATTCTCTGCATTATTTTTGTTACTATAAAATGCACATTCCATAAAGTGCCTTGTATATCATAACTGGCAGCATATAGTCTGCTAAATGAGACTTGTTTACCCAGCAAATCTGGCTAGTGATTTTCCTCTCCTGTAGATTTTAAAGAGGGAAAATTTTAGCATCTCATTCTCTTATTGACACTCTTAACTTCTCATATTTTCCAGCGAAACAAGCTTTTGATTAACTTTTATATTACGACATACACAATTTTATTATAGTAATTAATGAAGATATTTCTAGTCTCCTATTTTCCAATCATGCTCTAAGTTTAGTCTCCATGTAATCATCATCTTGAACTGGAACAAAGAGAAGCATTTCATGTAATTACAGAGTTGTCAACATAATTCCTGACTGGCCACAACCGTACTTATGAATTATAATCTCCTGTATAAATGGCTCTTTTTCCACAAACATAATTTTAACAAAGGAAATAAATTTTGTTTGGAAAATACACATTTTGTTTGACTATTATATATTAAAAGGATAAAAATGTAAGATCAAATTTTGTCAATCTATTTTTATTTCTTATTTGAACCTCAATGTTTGCACATTTTTAAAAATCAAGGTTTTCTTTTTCCTTTTTAAACTAAAATTCCTCACATTTTATACTGTCACCCTACTACAGGTCAAATATCAGGTCTCTCTATATTACCTCCTCAAGAATTCTTAAATATTTTTATCAGACTGAAATATTTTATTACGTATTTTTAACAACTGGGTCAGAAATAAACATTTTAAACTTCATTAGACTGGGATAACCCGGGTTGTAACAGGTTGGTATCTGTATCTCAGTTTATAGAAAAATTAATCTATGCTGAACTATGTTGAAAAAGCAAAATAGGGTGCCTGGGTGGCTCAGTTGGTTAAGCGACTGCCTTTGGCTCAGGTCATGACCCTGGAGTCCCAGGATCGAGTCCCGCATCGGGCTCCCAGCTCAGCGGGGAGTCTCCTTCTCCCTCTGACCCTCCCCCCTCTCGTGTGCTCTCTCTCTCTCTCATTCTCTCTCTCAAATAAATAAATAAAATCTTTAAAAAAAAAAAAAAGCAAAATAAATTGCCCCATAACCAGGAGCAAGAGGTTAATAGGGCTAACAGTAGGAGGCAGTGTAGAGAAATGAAATGAACCAAAGCTTTGGCATCAGGCTTGGTTTCAAATCTCATATCTGACTTCAGCATTTGAGCAAGTTAACTTTGAGCCTTTGTTCCCCTCTGTAAAAAAAGAGGATAATAATGTTTACTTCAGAGAGTTATTTTGTTTTGTTTTGTTTTTTTAATTTTATTTGAGAGAGAGAGTGAGAGAGAGCGAGCACCAGAGGGGGTAGGGTCAGAGGGAGAAGCAGACTCCCCACTGAGCAGGGAGCTTGATGCAGGACTTGATCCTGAGACTCCGGGATCATGACCTGAGCCGAAGGCAGTCGCTTAACCAACTGAGCCACCCAGGCACCCTTCAAGAGTTACTTTGAAGATTAAATAATGTGTAACAGTTTGCTTAATAGTGTCTATCACAAAATAAGGATTTAGTTGGGCGCCTGGGTGGCTCAGTCATTAAGCATCTGCCTTCGGCTCAGGACATGATCCCAGGGTCGTGGGATCGAGCGCCGCATCGGGTTCCCTGCTCAGTGGGAAGCCTGCTTCTCCCTCTCCCACTCTCCCTGCTTGTGTTCCCTCTCTGTCAAATAAATAAATAAAATCTTTAAAAAAATTTAAAAAATAAGGATTTAGTCCAACCCACTTTAAAGATTAAAGTTTAAACATTGTAGGTGTTCCCTTTTGGAATCTTATCCAGTGCACTTTTACTACTTAAAAGGATGGTAAGATTGATTGTGATTGCACTGTTCAGAAACAATCGATGTAGAAACGTTTTAAGAAATAGGAATGTGGGTCGCCTGCGTGGCTCAGTTGTTAGGTGTCTGCCTTTGGCTCGGGTCATGATCCCAGGGTCCTGGGATCGAGCCCTGCATTGGGCTCCCTGCTCAGCAGGGAACCTGCTTCTCCCTCTCCCACTTCCCCTGCTTGTGTTCCCTCTTTCACTGTGTCTCTCTCTCTGCCAAATAAATAAATAAAATCTTTAAAAAAAAGAAAAATGTAGGGGCGCCTGGGTAGCTCAGTCTAAGCGTCTGCCTTCGGCTCAGGTCATGATCTCAGGGTCCTGGGATCGAGCCCCACATCGGGCTCCCTGCTCAGTTTGGAGTCTGCTTCTCCCTCTCCGCTTTTGCTTTCTAATAAATAAAATCTTTAAAAAAAAAAATACAAATGTATAAAAAATGATTAGTCACAATTCATGATTAAGTGAGAAGTGTAGTATCCCAGCTCAAGTAAATATGGAAGACAGTCTTTCCCTTAGGATCAGAATTGTTGGTCACTGGGTTATCAAAAGTTTAGGACTTCAAACAATTTACTTCTTAAGCTTCAATGTTGGGTGTTATTTTGGCATGAACTTATTAAATGGGTAGCCTGAATTACAATGCCTAATGTCTTTGAAGGTTCATTTATTGATTGAGTAAATATTTTTGGGATGGCTACTATGTCCCTGGTCCTCATGTAATTCCATGGGTGTCAATTAAACACATGAAACATAAAGTTCAATATTACTACATAACCTATTAGAAGGTTCAAAAGCTGGACATTGACAACACCAGATGCTGACAAGGATGTAGAGCAGCAAGAACTTTCATTCACTCCTGGGAATGCAAAATGGTACAGACGCTTTGGAAGATTGGGTGATTTCTTACAAAACTAGACATACTCTTACCATACAATCCAGCAGTTGTGCTCCTTGGTATTTACCCAAAGGAGTTGAAAACGGTGTGAACCTGCACACTGATGTTTTATAGCAACTTCATTTATAATTGCCAAAACTTGGAAGCAACCAAGATATCCTTCAGTAGGTGAATGGAGAAATAAACTGGTTCATCTAGACAATGGAGTATTCAGCACTAAAAAGAAACGAGCTATCAAGCCATGAAAAGATATGGAGGAAGCTGAAATGCATATTACTAAGTGGAAGGAGCCAATCTCAGAAGGCTACATACTGTCTGATTACAACTATATGACATTCTGGCAAGGTAAAAAGGCAGAAATATGGAGACAGTAAAAAGATGAGTGGTTGCCAGGCAGTGGGGGTAAGGTGGGATGAACAGGCAGAGCTTATAGGATTTTTAGGGCAGTGAAAACACTTTGTATGATATTATAATGATGGATATATGTTCTTATATGTTTGTCAAAATACAGAATATACAATACTAAAAGTGAGCCCTAAGGTAACTCTGGGTGATTATGATGTATCAGTGTAGATTCATTGTTGGTTAAAAATGTACCAATTTGGTGAGTGATGTTGATAATGGGGGAGGCTGTATATGTGTGGGGACAGGGGGTTTTGTCAGTTTATTTTAAAACTCAGTTTTGTTGTAAACCTAAAACTGCTCTGAAAAAAAGCCTTTTAAAAAAATAAAGCTCAATTTTTAATTTCGCAGTAAATGCCAATCTCTTCTAAATTGGTCAGTGCTCTTTTTTCTCTCACTTCCTCTACCAGTATTAGTTGATACATGTAAATTATGTGCTTGGTTTTTTGTTTTGCTTTAGTTTTATGCAAACCTGTGAATAGTTTAACCGTACACTCAGGGAAATTTGACAGTGACCTAAACTTTTTATTGAAAAAATTCACTATGTTTTTTTTGTCAAAAGTGCTTAAACTTACTTTCATCCATGAAAAATTTAATTTTCCTTTTTTTTTTTTTAAAGATTTTATTTACTTATTTGACAGAGACACAGTGAGAGAGGGAACACAAGCAGGGGGAGTGGGAAAGGGAAAAGCAGGCTTCCCGAGGAGCAGGGAGCCCAATGCGGGGCTCCATCCCAGGGCCCCGGGATCATGACCCGAATCGAAGGCAGACGCTCAATGACTAAGCCACCCAGGTGCCCCCCCCTTTTTTTTTTTTTTTAAGATTTTTATTTATTCATTTGACAGAGAGAGACACAGCAAGAGAGGGAACACAAGCAGGGAGACGGGGAGAGGGAGAAGCAGGCGATGTGGGGCTCGATCCCAGGACCCTGGGATCATGACCTGAGCCAAAGGCAGACGCTTAATGACTGAGCCACCCAGGCGCCCCTTTAATTTTCCTTTTGGTCCAGCTTCACAAATACATGATGTCAAGTGTTTCTCTAGTAGATGACATTGATATTTATCCCTAAATTGTCAAGGGGATCAGCTTTGTGGTATTGAGACAGGTTTAGGTAACACATTTCAATGACTGGGACAGAGTTTAGTTTTAAAATGATTTGAGGGGCGCCTGGGTGGCTCAGTCCGTTGAGCATCTGCCTTCAGCTCAGGTCGTGATCCTGGTTAGATCCCTCTGCCTGCTATTCCCCCACTTGTGCTCTCTCTTGCTCTCTCTCTGTCAAATGAATGAATAAAATCTTAAAAAAAAGAAAAATAACTTGAAATTACAAATCAAAACTAAAAATAGACTAGAAATTCAAGCTTATTCAAGCCAGTTTATAAAATCTTACAAGTTCAAAAGGTTAATAGGTGTTTCTTTATAAAAAAAAAAATCTAATTAGGAAAAGTATACAAATAACTAAAGTGTAAATGTTATAGTTTTATTTAAAATAATAAGTCTTTTGTTTGTATAATCTATGTCAGATAGAATTTTGACTAATCATAGCTCTTACTCTGCAGGATTATATAAGAAAACCGGTAAATTGGTATTTCTTGGATTGGATAATGCAGGAAAAACAACATTGCTACACATGCTAAAAGATGACAGGCTTGGACAACATGTCCCAACGTTACATCCCAGTAAGTATATTCCCATATGCAACATGTTACTTTATCAAGTGATACCAATTCATAGGTACTAACCAAAAATTTTTTTGTCTTTTGGTGTTTTTTGGGTTTTTTTTTTTTAAGATTTTTATTTATTTATTTGACAGAGAGAGACACAGTGAGAGAGGGAACACAAGAAGAGGGAATGGGAGAGGGAGAAGCAGGCCTCCCGTGGAGCAGGGAGCCTGATGCAGGGCTCGATCCCAGGACCCTGGGATCATGACCTGAGCTGAAGTCAGTCGCTTAACCGACTGAGCCACCCAGGCACCCCTTTTGATGTTTTTTTGGTGGATAAATTATGATCAGGTGATATGACCTATTCTTAAAATAGTATAATAAATCATAGGTAACCCACTCCACTCCCAAGAAGTATATTTAAATCTTAAAATAATACACGTATCTTCTTTTCAGTTAGTACACCCTTCTCCAGCTAGAGGAATTAAAGTTACTGTGTCAGGGATTATAACATGATTGAGGTCTATCCAACCAAATACTGCTTAGACTATAAATAGTCACCATTACCTTATTTAGATAACTTAAATTTCTTTCAAGTTTTAAAACTGTACTTTTAATCATTATTCAGTGGACAGCTTATAGTCTTACACTTTGCTAGTGACTCTCAATTTATTAACTAGTTATTTTTCTACTCTGAGAAACCTCAACAGTATCTAATATAAAGACCATAGAATTATTCCAAGAAACAGGGCACGTATGGATACATTTACAGAAAGTTTTAGAACAATTTGAAAGATAATTTACTGTGGTTTCTTTAAGAAAGACTGCTAAAGACATTAACAATGACTCTGTAAATCACTAATACATATCATCCAGCATGTAAGGTTATGTCATGATACTATCTGAGAAAGTAAAATTAATGTTAAAGTGACAAAATTATTAGAACAGAAGCCTAACTTATAAATACCTGTGACCTTACTGTCACTTGAAAAGACTATGAATCAAAAAGACATATTGTTTTGTTTTTCAATTTTATTTTTTTTAGACAGAGTTTAAAAACAAGCTAATCCACAGATTAATTATGAAATAATGAGTGTGGACTTAATAATGAGTATAAAATGGAGCACTGGACCAGAAAGTAGATAATAATATGATAGGTATTTAATTCAGTAAATATTCAGAGAACAAGGAAGGAGAACAACAAAAACAAAGTACTGTTTTATCAGTAAAACTCTTAGTGAAGTTGGAAAAGGAAGATTTTATAAAATTGATAAATCTTTTTTTTATATTAGGACAAGAGTGGGGCTTGGCAAATAAGATTCTGATACAAGAACAATACGATTAAAAAATGATCATTGTGAAATTGAGTATATAAATTGTAAGCAAAAACAGTTGAAAGAGACTACAGAGTGGTGTGGTATTGGTGTAAGTCATTTTAAAAAAAAATTTTTTTTTTAAAGATTTTATTTATTTATTTGAGAGAGAGAGAGAATGAGAGAGAAAGCACAGGAGATGTAAGAGGGGGAGGGTTAGAGGGAGAAGCAGACTCCCTGCTGAGCAGGGAGCCCGATGCGGGACTCGATCCAGGGACTCCAGGATCATGACCTGAGCCGAAGGCAGTTGCTTAACCAACTGAGCCACCCAGGCGCCCTTAAAAAAAATTTTTTTTAAGATTTTATTTTTAAGTAATCTCTACATCCAACATGGGGCTCCATTGTATAACCCTGAGATCAAGAGTTGCATGCTCTACCAACTGAGCCATCCCGGCACCCACATTTTCATATATTTTTTTAAGATTTTATTTATTTGAGAGAGAGAGAATGAGAGAGAGAGCACATAAGAGGGGGAGGGTTAGAGGGAGAAGCAGACTCCCTGCTGAGCAGGGAGCCCGATGCAGGATTCGATCCTGGGACTCTAGGATCATGACCTGAGCCGAAGGCAGTCACCCAACCAACTGAGCTACCCAGGTGCCCCACCCATTTTCATATTTTTGATGTTCTCTTTTATTTATTCATCAAATATTTATTGAGCACCTACTTTATGTCACACCTTGTCCTAAGTACGAGGAGTAAAAGGCACAAAACATTTGCCATCTCAACTCTCCTGCAGCTCGCGTTCATTCTGTCTTACATTTTTCATTAATTAAGAGCATATGTGGGGCACCCGGCTGGCTCAGTTAGTTAAGCGACTGCCTTCAGCTCAGGTCATGATCCTGGAGTCCCAGGATCGAGTCCTGCATCGGGCTACCTGCTCACCGGGGAGTCTGCTTCTCCCTCTGACCCTCCTCCCTCTCTCTCTCTCCCAAATGAAAAAAATAATTTAAAAAAAGAGCATATGTGGAAAAGGTAATATATATCTACCCTATGATCTGACAATTCCATTGCTAAGTATTTATCAAGGAGAAATGAAGACATATGTTCACCAAAATCCTTGTACAAGAATGTTTATAACAGCTTTCTTTGTAATAGCCCCAAACTGGAAACAGCTCAGATACCCATCCAAAAAAAAGAAAAGAAAAGATAAACAATGAAATTCTTTTCAATAAGAAAGAGGAATAACTTACATACAAAATATACATTATGATGCTTGGAAGAAACTGGTCACAAAAAGTTTCATACTGTATGGTATCAATTTATGTGACATTCTAGAACAGGCACAACAAACCTGTAGTGATAGAATTCAGATTACTTCTGGGAGTGGACAGTGACTGGGAAGGGGCAAACTCCCTGGGATATTGACAGTTTTCTGTGTCTTAAACTGGGACTTTTTATAGTGTACTAGGGATCGTAACCATAAAGGTAGTATCCCAACCACATCCAAGCATTATATTTTCCTTATGGAAAGGAACACACTTTGAACACAAATTGTATTGGTTCATTCAGTTGGGAGTCTATATAAAGAATATTTTAACAAGAAGCTACTCTGGGGCCTCAGCAATTGTAATGAATAGTTAAAATTACACTGAACCTTTCATTGTAATTGTAGGGGACTTCTGCTTTTGCTATGGGGCAGTAAGAGCATCTGGAATTATCCTCCCACTGTAAGCAGCTAGAAAACTGGACCAACCATATATACTACAACTGTTTTCAGAACTGGACAATATTTAGCACAGGACTGTGATTCCTGAGAGAAGGAAAACAAACCTTTCTTTATTCAGGCTTTATCACAGAGATAATCTTCAGACCATGGTGCAGGGAGAAGAAACCCAAACATGACCCAGTAGTCTTGCTGAGTTGAGAAGAGAGAAACTAGAATATGGAGAAACTGAGGTGACGAGAATTTGCTTGGCATAGTACCAGAGAAGGAGCTCTGCAGACAAAGAACTGCAGAAATGTTCATGGCTAAATACCAATCTGTGTGCATAGGGTAAATCTCCCCATGGCCAAACAAAGAACAATTTCTGGAGAAAGAATAATTGTAGCGGAGCTGTTAACCAAATAATTCTCAGAGCTCACATGGGCCCAGGAATCATTCATGTTCTCCCACCAGCCAGAAGGGAGAGACCAGGCATTCAGTAGAGACTCCAGAAGGATCATACCTTATTTTTTTTTTTTAAGATTTTATTTATTTATTTGAGAGAGAGAATGAGATAGAAAGAGAGGATGAGAGGGGGGAGGGTCCGAGGGAGAAGCAGACTCCCCGCTGAGCAGGGCGTCGGATGCGGGACTCGATCCCGGGACTCCAGGATCATGACCCGAGCCGAAGACAGTTGCCCAACCAACTGAGCCACTCAGGTGCCCAGGATCATACCTTATTAATGGGGCTGAAGTACCTGTAAAGATTACGATAACCCAACAAAACTTAAAAACTGATCTGCAGTGTGCCTGGGTGGCTCAGTTATTAAGGGTCTGCCTTCGGCTCAGGTCATGATCCCAGAGTCCTGGGATCGAGCCCCACATCAGGCTCCCTGCTCAGCAGAGAGCCTGCTTCTCCCTCTCCCACTCCCCCTGCTTGTGTTCCCTCTCTCACTGTGTCTCTCTCTGTCTAATAAATAAATGAAATCTTTAAAAAAAAAATAAAAACTGATCTGCAAGCAGTTTAACTGCCTGCCAGAACAAAGTCCACCTTACTTCAAAAGAATACAACGAAATCCAGCATCCAGTGAAAAATGACTAGACATGCAAAGAAGCTGGAAAGTGTGACCCACAACCAGGAGAAAAATCAATCAGTAGTGACAGGCCCAGAAGTGACTAAGATGATGGAAGTAGCAGATGAGGATCCCAAAAGAGCTGTAATGAATCTGCTCAAGGACTGAAGGAAAACTTGAAAAGAATGAGGAAAGAAATGGAAGATACAAGACAGAACCAAGTGGAACTCCTAGAAATGAAAAATACAATAACTGAAATTTTCACTACATAGGATTAACAACAAAATAGTGCCAGTACTGCAGAAGCAAAGACCAGTGAACTTAAGTCAGCATACTAGAAACTATATAAAATGAAGCACAGAGAGAAAAATGAAAAGAAAATGAACAGATACTCAGTGACCTGTGGGATAATATGAAGCAGTCTAGCCAACCTATACTTGAAGTCCTAGAAGAAGGGAGGGAGCAGAAAAAAATTTGAAGACATCATGGCAAAAATATTTATTGCAACTGTGTTTATCATTAAAGACTGTCACTTGCTAATATGAGAGCCATGAGAGAAAATTATTTCCCCGGTGTCATCTAAGATGAATTATAGGAAAAATTATAAGGTTGGAGCAGTTACTTGAATTCACAGCAGATAATTATCTGAATAGTTAATATTTTCAGCAGGAGAAAGAAAGAAGGAAAAAAAATGTTGGATTTGTGGAAGGTAGTGAATACTAGAATATTACCATTACTTGTGTTATGTTGTCAATATAAACTGAAGTATATCTAATTACAACAGATTCTTTTATTAGTTACTAAATGTCTGATTTGAACTTATTTGCAGTTAATCAAACATTAAGTAGCAATATATACTGTGAATGGATATCTGATTTTCTTGTTGTAAAAATATTTTATATTATTATTTAGCTTCAGAAGAACTAACCATTGCTGGCATGACCTTTACAACTTTTGATTTGGGTGGACATGTTCAAGGTAAGATTCTATTACTCTTATAGTTGCTTTATTTTATTTTAATAAAAATGTGGCCATTATTTCCCAGTGTATGAAATCTCGTTCTGTTCAAGGAAGGCCAGAGTAGACTTAAAATTTAAGAATTATTACCACCAGATAAGCTTTAAACCAAAGTGATTTTCATAATACTCCTGGTCAATTTAAGTCTGAATTGCTTTAGGTGTAAAGCATGAACCTAAATTTAGCCTCTGTCCTCTGCTCCAATTCACATCTCACTGATGGTCATAATCATGTTATGATGTCACTCTCTGTATTAAAAACCTTCAATGGCTGACCTACAAAATGGAAGCCAAACTCATTGACCTGGCATTTGGGATCTCTGTAATCTGATCCTGGCTTATTTTTTGAGTCTTTATTTTCCTCTATTCCCTTTCCTATTCTCTGTACTCCAACTAAACAAAACCCTCTTGATGTTCTCCCCCTCTGTACTTTTGCTCATGCCATCCTCATCTGCACACAAGTAACCAACCTTCAGGGACCAGTCAGTGTATGGCTACCTCCCCTGAGAAGCCACTCTCACCTGGGAGTGCTATAAATTATACTTCCATGGTGCTTAGTGCGTTTGTGTAAGTGTCTACAAGTTTGGAAAAGACTGTGTTATCTCCTCTACTAAACTTTATGGAATTAAAGTCTATTTCTTATGTCCCCCAAAAGACATGGCAGTGCCCAGCACATGGTAATTCATAAATAGTGAATATTACAAAGTTGGTGGGCATTCTGAAAGCTCCTAAGACAAATAGTTGAAAAGATTTTGATTGGTTGTGGCTAGTGAATGCACATTTGAGACATAATAATTATTTGAAATATATATGAAGTATTTTCCAGAATATAATGGTTAGAGAGAATTGGAACCTAATGGAGTTTGTCTGAGACTTAATTTCTGTGTTGTTTTTAAGATATATCATAAAACTGAAGTCAGAAAAAAGTTGCTTACCCCTAAGGTACCCCTAAAACTTTTCTAAAAATAATGTCATGGAAAAAAATTACCCTAAAGGTTTCATTGACTTTAGTTAATTTCTAACAGTTTGCTTTTATTATTTTAACTTAACAAATCCGTACCCACAAATTTCCTTCTTTCACTGACTCCGAATTTATCAGTGGCAAAAAAACTGATAAAATGTCAAAAAATGAATACTGCATATAAATAAATAAAATTTAAAAATAGTGGCAGTCATCCAATGAACTTAATGTGCATCATTGTCCATTGGTAGCAAATAATAATTCCACTTCTGACTTGGGAGAATTGGGGCAGAGTAAAATATTTGACTTGCTCACATCAAGGAAAGCCTTCCTTGGTCCTTTGGAAAGATTTGGCAACCCTGGGTTAAAGATTAACTTGAGTATATAGTGAAGTGGTAGCAGCTAAGGGATAATTATACTTGATATCTTGTTGGACTCTTCCATCAAACCATCTGCTAGGTTTGACCAGCAAATAAAATCTAACTCCTGATTGTTTTTGTTAGCTCGAAGAGTGTGGAAAAACTACCTTCCTGCTATCAATGGCATTGTATTTCTGGTGGATTGTGCAGACCATGAAAGGCTGTTAGAATCAAAAGAAGAACTTGATGTAAGTTAACTAAAACTAAACATAGCTGAATCACTCTGGTAAGCTTGAGGAAATAGGTTGGAGATCTAGGTATCAGAGTGTAGCTTTTCTGCAGTCTCTGATATAACTCCTGGCAATTTATGGAGCTCAGTGGTTACTCCACTTAGAATGCAGAGACAGTAGCTTGGAGTAATTGTAGCTATTGAGGACATACTAACACAGACTTTCTTCCTGAAGACCTAAGCTCACTCTGCAGCATGCCTTTCTAGTATATTTCATGTCTGCGGCATACCTGGAGTGGCTTGGTCTTGAGTCCCTGGTCATCCTAGATGCCATTTTCTTCAGGAGTTGGCCGGAACCTGGAAATGGTATAACATAGTATCTTAGTCACCACTTCCAGGAGTGAGTAGGGGCATTTGTAGCCACTTCTCCTCCCCCTCTTCCAGGTCAGATGCTTCGTAAGGTGGCTCAGGATCAGCTGGGAAGGCAGGGCTAGATCTGGGACCACAGAGAAAGCAGTGATTTGACCTTGACCGTGCCTCTTCCCAGAGCCGGCAAATAACTGTTCATGTGGCAAAGTCCAGGTAGGTTCTGTGGTCATGGAACAGGGTCAGGGAATTCCTAACTACCTACTTTGTGCCAGGCACGTGTATATTAACTCATTTAATTCTCAAATCAACTCCATAAGGTAGGTGCTACTATTCCAAATTCTCTTTGAACTTCATTGAGGCTTATTTGTCCAAGATCTCATAATTCATAAACAGAACTAGAATTGAAACCAGGTCTGCTCACCTTCAAGGTATTTGTTTTAGAGTCCCTTAGTGATTCACAGAGTGAGCAGAGTTGAGCTATAGGGAAACAGAAGAATTGAGCTTACAGTTTCTTTGAGCTCACTTTGTTTTGTTTTTGTTTTTTTTTAAGATTTTTTTTTTTTTAACTCCTCTCTCCACCCAGCTTGGAGCTCAAACTTAACAACCCCCAGATCAAGGATTGCATGTTCTACTGACTGAGCCAGGCAGGCGCCCCAGAGCTTGCTTTAAAATGTACGAAAAGTTTGTCAAAGAAATTTGGCAATATTGACATGCTATGATAGAGAATGAGTCCTTGATACTCATTGGTATCTTATCATAAGGAGCTCTTTAGATAGTTTCTTATCAACATCTTGTCTTTCATTTTGTTTTGTTTCAGTCACTAATGACAGATGAAACCATTGCTAATGTGCCTATACTAATTCTTGGGAATAAGATTGACAGACCTGAAGCCATCAGTGAAGAGAGGTTACGAGAGATGTTTGGTTTATATGGTCAGACAACAGGAAAGGTAAATAAAACAATTTTTTTTTTTACTAGTGTGAATATTTCATTTGACAGTGTAAGGGTCTTTTAATTTAATACCTTATTTGTTTTTATCTTCTGAAATAGTTTATTCCAATACTAGCACTAACAGTAATCATGGTGATTAGTCCAATTGGCGATCTGCCTTTTTTTTAATTGAGGTATAACTGACATGTAACATTAGTTTCAAGTGTGCGACCAAATGTCTTTTTAAATTACTATTGTCCAATTACTTTAAATTACTATTGTCCAACTACTATGCCCATTATTATTATTTTTTCTTAAAAACTGTCATTTGTACATTTGGGTCTTTTTAAATGTCTTCATGTGTTTTCTTTCTACCACTGAATGAAACCTTTTTTTAGGGATAACAAAAATGTCAAAGCTCGGGCGCCTGGGTGGCTCAGTCGGTTAAGCGACTGCCTTCGGCTCAGGTCATGATCCTGGAGTCCCAGGATCGAGTCCCACATCAGGCTCCCTGCTCAGCAGGGAGTCTGCTTCTCCAACTCTGACCCTCCTCCTTCTCGTGCTATCTCTCATTCTCTCTCTCTCAAATAAATAAAATCTTTAAAAAAAAAAAAAAGTCAAAGCTCATGCTTGTGGGAAACTGAATGAAAGCTTTCAAAGTTTATTCTTCTTAGTTTTTCAGAATTAGCCACCAAATAATATACTTAAGGTTTAAGCATTCCAGTAATGTATTTAGGCCCTAAGTTCATCAGAGATAAAAATAAAATGTAAATTTGAACAGTGTTTGGGGATTTTCTGAACATAATACTTTTTTTAAGATTTTATATGAGATAAAGAGAATGAGCATGAGGGGTAGGGGGAGCCAGAGGGAGAAGCAGACTCCCCACTGAGGAGGGAGCCTGAAGCGGGGCTGGATCCCAGGACCCTGAGATCATGACCTGAGCTTAAGGCAAATGCTTAACCGACTGAGCCACCCAGGCATCCCTGAACATAATACTTTATTTTTTTAAGATTGTATTTATTTATTTGAGAAAGAGAGAATGAGAGACAGAGAGCACGAGAGGGAAGAGGGTCAGAGGGAGAAGCAGACTCCCTGCTGAGCAGGGAGCCCGATGTGGGACTCGATCCTGGGACTCCAGGATCATGACCTGAGCCGAAGGCAGTCGCTTAACCAACTGAGCCATCCAGGCGCCCTGAATAATAAGCTTCAAAATGCATTATTTTTGCAATCATTTTTACTAGTATTTGTTTGAGGGAGGGACCTTGGTATAGAAAAATATCAGAGTTTACAAACAAAATTTCCTTGGTGTGTGTGTGTGTGTGTGTGTGTATACATACATACATTTTCAGAGTAGAGAAATACTGCATTCTTTGGAAGGAGACTCTGATGTTAGGGTAGACGTTAGTCTGTTTTCTGTGTCTTTTCAATAAGTCAACTCCCCATTTTTAGAAATGCCTTTAGTCATAAACCTACTCAAAAAGGTTTGTCTTTAATATTAGTGAAGCTGGCTTGGGTAACTTAAATTTTTCCAAGTCAAAGATTATTTTCATTCTTTTGTGCCTCAGAAACTCCCCTCTTTCCCACTGAGAGAAGGAGGTTTCCTGTGTGTCTGAGGGACTTGTCCACCCAGCACCCAAGGCTTAGCACAGTCACCCTTTGTTCTGAGATGTAGAAGCTGCAATTCAGCTGGAAAGTGGAGCTTTTATTTCATAAAGGGGTCATCCATCATAATATAATGTCTGTCTTCCCTTCTAGGGCAGTGTATCTCTGAAAGAACTGAATGCCCGACCCTTAGAAGTTTTCATGTGCAGCGTGCTCAAAAGGCAAGGCTACGGAGAAGGTTTCCGTTGGATGGCACAATACATTGATTAACAACCACCTGCATCGGTTCCAGGTCTCACCATTCAGGCCTACTCAGAGATTTGATCTACTCAACATGCATAACTTGAATTCAATAGACTTTTGTTGGTTAGAAAACATGTTTTTTAGATTAATATTATATCAACTTAATTTGAGTGCAAATTGAAAACTGATTGAAGTAAGTTTGAGTATCACAATGTTAGCTTTCTAATTCCATAAAAAGTTTATACAGTTTATAATCTGACATTATCCCCAGCGCCATTTATAAAGAACAACTTTCCAGCAGTACATTTGAAGCACTTTTTAACAACATGAAGCTACAAATATAAACCATGTTTAAAAGCTCATCATGTTAAATTTTTATGTACTATTTTGGAACTAGTTTTTAAATTTTAGATTATATGTCCACCTGTCATAAGTGTACAGTTAATAATTAGCTTATTGATGATTGCATGATGCCTTACAGTTTTCAATAATATTTTTTCTTATGCAAACGTCATGCAATAAAACACACCCTGATGTTTGGCATTTTTGTTGGACAGATGTTTCATTTTAATGTGTCTTGTCTAGCTAGTATGCTCTGACATTTTGAGTATTTAATAACATACGTATGAGGGGGTTGTGGGGAAAGGAGACCACTTCAGAATTTTTAGGATAATGTGTAGGTCTCTAGAGGTTTTTGCATTTACCAGGAGACAAGTTGTGTTTAGTTCCACCTTATACCACATTTATCTCTGAATCACTTGTGTTTGTAACAGTAATGCTACCATTATTAGTGCTGATGGGGCCCACCTCCTAGTTTCTGTGGGATTGGTCTTTTGAAGAAAAGCACATCTGGTACAACACAAGGGGTTTGATAGGCCCTATAGCTCCTTTCCAGTTGTCTGATTCTGAAGTGTTCCAAACTTACTGGTGCCCAGTTCGGTTATTTGTGCCTTTTCACCAAAAGTAGTGACAGGCACCAGTCTCCCCACATTTAGAGGTACTCCCCACTCCCTTTTACATAATGGTACTCCCAGGGCAAGCAACAAGTAGCACCTTGTGCGTAGTTTCATTGTGGAGGCCTGTATGTGTGAGAAAGGAAGCCTGTTCTGCCTTGTGAGCTGCATGGGGATTCTGGTCCTGTCCTATAGCTTTTTTGCATTGTTTGGCATATTTTATTTCTCAGTAGAAATAAATGAATGCTTGTGTTTGATTTTCCTTTTTCTTAATTGCTCTCAGCTCGTACTTTTATAGCACAAAGGCTTTTGTTTTTAGAAGTAATGCCTTCCATGTGATAGTGTCTGCAAGCCTCACTGATAGACTAACATTTTAGGTAGGTTTTAAAGCATTTTAATTTTCTAAGAAATTGAGTTTTTTTTTTTTTTCCCATGAGGTTCTGAGATTCCCGTAATTACTAAAATAAGCTGAAAGATAAGTGCCAAATATGTACTTTTAAAGACTCAAACTTAAGAGAGTTCTTTCTTGGTTATAAACGAGGATTTTATAGTATATTTCGCCAATTCCATTGAGAATAGATTGTTCCAATTCCCTCAAGAATAATTTTAATATCAGAATTAGTGTTTTCTTTAGCTTTTTTCCAAATCAGTTACTCTAGTTCTGTCATTAATAATGGAACATCTGAGACAGATAAGGATTAAGGGATATGACTGAAAGGAAATACCAGTTAGGGCGCCTGGGTGGCTCAGTTGGTTAAGCGACTGCCTTCGGCTCAGGTCATGATCCTGGAGTCCCGGGATCGAGTCCCACATCGGGCTCCCTGCTCAGCAGGGAGTCTGCTTCTCCCTCTGACCCTCTTCCCTCTCGTGCTCTCTATCTCTCATTCTCTCTCTCTCAAATAAATAAATGAAATCTTTAAAAAAAAAAAGGAAATACCAGTTAGCTAAACCAACAAGGTCATTGCAACATGACCTCTGGTTTTAGTAATACGACTTTTCTGTTTCACTTTAACCTTCCTTTCAAAAAAAGAGCTTCTTCCCTGCTTAGAATCATCAGTAGCATCATGGGAAAAGGAGGAAATGACATACCAACCTGTTGGTTTATCCTGCCACGTGTAATCCAAGTACTCACTATTCTAGGGGCACCTGACTGGCTCATTTTGTGGAACATGTGACTCTTGATCTTGGGGTTGTGAGTTCAAGCCCCACATTGGGTGTAGAGATTACTTAAATAAATAAAACTAAAACAAGTACTTCTAATATCCTGACAACAGAACTGCGCCTTATTAAAAGTAACTGCCTCTCATTGATACCTGTCTTGAATACCTACAGGGACATGCATTTTCTTTCAAGTATTTCCTTATATTGTGATATTGAGAAGTTAATTATTTGTATCATAAATTAGTGTAAAGGAAAAACCTTACTAGTTTCTCTAAAGGGAAGAAATGCTTTCTGGTACAAAATAAATCATTCCAAAATTCTCATTTTAGTTCTGACACTGGATCAAAGAAACAAAGTCAGTTGTGGACCACAACTAAACTGTGGCTATTTTCCCAATGATATAGGATTCTTACGGCCTGAACATTCAGAAATGAAGCTGCGCATAGCAGCAACTGGCTTTCCCCCCAGCTCCGGGGAGATGGACCCTAGTCATCGGGTTTCCCACCTCACTCTTCCAGCTCCTCGGAACACATCCACTGAGTCACTGCTCCCCTTCAAGAGAAGCATATTAAAAGAATGGCAAGAGACAGAAGCACGTGGGGAAAACGTGCTCTCTATGTGCTTGTGCAAGTGCGTGCGCTTGCACAAAATACTCCTGTGCAGTATTTTGGGGGTAAATGGTAGCACTGGGGACACAGATTAATTATGTACCTTTTACCATAAGTTGCGAAAATGTATACAAGTTAAAATTGGATTCCATATAAATCAGGCACTGCTCAAAAGATGTGTTAAAATCTTTAGTCTAAAGCTCTAAAAGACAAGGTCTCAGCCTACATTTCTCATTTTAATGAAACCCTTAACCCCACTCCTCTTTCAAGGACTGCTGTTAATTATATTTTCAGGTAACTTTTTAAATTGATTCCAGTTTGTCTTTATCAGTGAATTTTTTAGAATGGAGATCATAGCATTTTTTAAAATTGGGGCAAGACATTTCCTAAAATATATGAAAATAATTCTTCACTATTGGCTTGGTTGACCCAGTATCTCTGAATGCCAAAGATGTATGAAATCCAGATGTTGCCTGCATAGATGTAATGTTTAGTTTTGTGTGCCTGTGTTTATATATACATTTACTGTGGTTTACAGTGTTGTTTCTTTTCCTTAGTTTTGAACCAGCTCACACTTCTTCCTGGTGCTTTCCAGCACATAAACTACTTGTAAAATCATTAAAATAGGGTAATAGCTGTGATAATCTGCTTCTAGCCTTCTGCAAAATGACTTGATCAGCCACATTCAAAACACAGCATTTTCACAAGTTCCATCATTAAAAGCAGTGTAATTCTAGTTGACATGATTTGAGAGTTGCAGGAGAAAGGTTTACATGTTCTGAAACTGCATTGGTTGTGACTCAGTGTGGCATTTGTCTTGATAGTCATGTGATTCAAGTTTGCAAGGATTTATTGCCAAACTTTTTTTTTTAAGATTTTATTTATTCATGAGAGACAGAGAGAGAGAGAGAAGCAGAGGGAGAAGCAGGCTCCCTGCTGAGCAGGGACCCCGATGCGGGACTCGATCCCAGGACCCTGGGATCATGACCTGAGCCGAAGGCAGACGCTTAACCATCTGAGACACCCAGGCGCCCCTATTGCCAAACTTTGACCAGAGTACAATGAGAATAGCTAATATGAAGGGAATGCTCTCAAAATATCTTGTGTTCATTTTACTTAGAGTATATTGTTTGGATCATTTTAAACCTATGTAAAAGTTGGTGAAGCTTCAAAAAATCTCCAAGAAACCATGAAAAAAAAACAAGATTAGCAAATAAAAATTCCTTAATGCAAAATTAATGGTGAATTAAAGGTTTTCTGTAAACCTTTCATTTTTTTGCTGTAAATCTAAGAGTTCAGAACAGTGTATCTTCAATTAAGGTCTAAATTCTCAAAGCTACATGGTGATGCTTCTGATGGCTTCCATCACTGTTCTTTGGAAATGCAAATTAGTGCTTTTTATCCCCCCCCCCCCCCCCGCCAAGGAACAATCGAACAGCCTAGGAATATGGGACTGTGCCTCTGTGCAAAGTGATTGGGATTTTGTTAAAACGGTGTTTCCACTCCTGATCCCTGAACCATCCCCCCTCACATAACACCACAGCTGGATAAAAAGTATGAAGGGAATCTACAGAGTCTATTGAAGATGTAGCTCTGAACCAACACATTTTTGTTCTCATAATTCAGATTAACTAATGCATTTAATACCACTGATTGATTGTTCAGGGATTTGACCACACTTTTAAATAGAATCAAAAGTAATTACAGTAAGCAAATTTATCCAAAGTAAACTTTGTTTCAGGAGCATCCTTGCCCCAAATAGATTTTAGGGCAGAAATGGGAAAACCTTTTGAGTAATTTCACACCAAGTTATTTTTGCAAAAGCTGCGGTGGACTGGATGAATTCTTCTTCAGCATGCATTTTAAATGGGGAAGGGAAAATTCGAATTAATTTCAGTTTTAAGTATTTTGGGGAAAGGGGAGGTGATAGTTCTACAGCTTTTGACATACAAGTGGTCTTTGGAATTGTTTTCATTATCAAGTATAAAGATTCACATCAGAATGGCAAACATCACATGGGTTTCTCTATTCCCTGGTGCTGCTTCTAACCTGAACTCATCATCAGTTGACATACTGAGGTGATAGCACTCAGGGTGAATGTAGACATGTTACTTTGAAAGTGATCAAAGTGTTTTCCTGTGGTGAGGCCTTCAGTATTTGACTGAATGAGGGGTATGTTGAAGTGGTTAAGTCAGTGTAAGTTTTTCATCACTAACCTTGTTTGCACTTTTGTACACCACTGCTTGCACTAGCATCTCAGTGTGAATTTTAACAATGGTTTTACAGTGTATACAGATTAAGCATAATTTATATAAAGATGTTTGTTTACCTTTATGTATTTTACAAAGAACAGCTACAATAGATGGTTAAATGTTCTTGAATTGTGTTTGTATGTGATTTTGATTATGTTCTATTATCATTCACCTCCTATGAATTCGAGTGTCAGGAATAGAAAAATAAAATGCTAACATGGTCTTTGAAAAACTAGTGTCAAGTTCCATTTTTATCATCCAACTATAATTTTCATTTTGCTCACTGGAAATTTCTTTGCTCACTTTGAAATTATGAAGATAATAGAACTTTCCCTTTGTACAAAGATTCTGAAGAATCTTTGCTTAAGTACCAAGGCCTAATTTGCCTGAAGACAACTTAAGGGCAAACTGAAGAAGTGACAACAGTGTTGACTCTGCTGAAATGTGAAAAATAAGGCAATCAGTTGGTTTTATCTACATCAAAGTTCTCTAGTGTTTGTCTGCATCAGAAATCTCCTGGGAAGATTTTATTTATTTTATGTAAACTCTGTGCCCAATGTGGGGTTTGA